TATTTTCGAACCCTGGAGGTTGTTTTACATACACCTCTTCTTGTAGGTAACCATTTAGAAAGGCACTTTTGACATACATTTGGTAGAGTTTAAACTCCATGTGAGCAGCATATGCAACCAGTATTCTAATGGCCTCAATTCTTGCTACTGGTGCGAAGGTTTCATCATATTTTATACCTTCTTCTTGGTTGTATCCCTGTACAACTAGCCTAGCTTTGTTGCGCACTATTTGACCTTGCTCATCGAGCTTGTTTCTAAACACCCACCTAGTTCCTATTACTGTTCTGTTTTGGGGCTTTGGAACCAGGTTCCACACTTTGCTTCTTTCAAATTGGTTGAGTTCTTCTTGCATAGCACCAATCCATTCAGAGTCTAGCAACGCTTCCTTAATATTTTTAGGCTCAATCAAGGACACATAGGCAGAGAATGCACACATACCACGTAGTTTGGATCTTGTAGATATGCCTGAGTTAAGACGAGTAAGAAGATTTTGCAGAGGGTGAGAGCTTTGATGTTTCCAATTATGAGTGGGAATACTTACTAGTTCTTGAGGTGCAGATGAACCAGTTTCGTCAGCAGACTTATCTCCTATTTCAGATGGTATGATTTCTTTTTCCCATGTTTTTGGGTCTGATGGCTCGGAGCAGGTTTCCTCATTTTGTTCATCCTCTGAATTTCCTTCAACTTCACTAGTATGTTCATTAAAAACAACATGGACACTTTCTTCTACACGGTTTGTTCTTTTATTCAGTACCTTGTAGGCTTGCTTTGTGATGAGTAGCCTAGAAAAATTCCTTCATCACTCTTGGCATCAAATTTTCCCAAATTGTCTTTGTCATTGTTGTGTATAAAACATACACATCCAAAGGCCCTAAGATGTGCTAGATTTGGTTTTCTTCCTTTTAGTAGCTCATATGGTGTTTTGTTTAACACTGATCTGATCATACATCTATTTATTAAATAGCATCCTGTATTTACTGCTTCAGCCCAATAGAATTTTGGAAGTTTGCTTGAGATTAACATTGTTCTTGCAATATCTTCCAGTGTTCTATTTTTCCTCTCAACAACACCATTTTGTTGTGGTGTTCTAGGTGCTGAGAAGTTATGCTCAATCCCATTTGTAGTACAAAATTGTAGGAATTGTGAGTTCTCAAACTCCAGTCCATGATCAGATCTGATGCTAATTATTTCTTTGTTGAATTTCTTCTGAACCAGCTTTGCAAAAACTTCAAACATAGTGAATGTCTCATCCTTTGTTGCAAGAAATAAAGTCCAAGTGAATCTTGAGTAGTCATCAACTATTACAAACACATATCTTTTTCCACCCTGCTTTGTACACGCATTGGTCCACATAAATCCATGTGAAGCAGTTCGAGTGGCTTAGTAGTACTTACTATCAACTTTGGTTTGAAGGATGACCTAACCTGTTTTCCTTGAATGCAGGTTCCACATATTTGGTTGTCCTTGAAACTTTTGGTTAGCAATCCCCTAACCAGGTCTTTAGATATGAGCTTGTTTATAGTTGCCATGCTAATGTGTCCCATTCTTTTGTGCCATAGCATGGAGCAATCTGAGACTGCACTTAGACATTTAAGATTCTCTTCCTTGGAGTCAACAGTCTTGACTTTGTACACATTCTTGTGTCTCTTTCCTAGTAGAACCAGGTTTCCAGTCACTGAGTTTGTTACTCTGCATTTTTTTCTGTAAAGAGAACGTTGTTTCCTTTATCACATATTTGAGATACGCTCAAAAGGTTATGTTGTAGACCATTCACATAATATACATTCTCAATTGCATGAGTATCCATTGATCCAACCTTTCCAATTCCCTGAATTTCACCACTTTTACCATTACCAAAGGCAACGTTTCCTCCTTTGATGTTCTTGAGTGAGAGGAAGCTTCTTTTATCTCCAGTCATGTGTCTTGAGCATGCACTATCCAAGTACAATTGTTGCTGCTTCCTCTTCACTGATCCCTGTAATTTATTGTTGAATTTTAGATTTTGGTACCCAAATCCACTTTGATTTAAGCTTAGGGAATGGGTGGATAAGATTCTTCTGGCCCAGATAGGAAGAGATTTGTCTGTAGGGATTTGTTTTTGCTCATTGGGTTTATCATGATGAGGTTTTCTCAAGGATTTCAAGTTTTTGTTATGAGCAGTTTGTTTCTTTTGACAATCATGACTTTTATGTCCTACCAGTCCACAGTGCATACATAAACAGTCTATGTTGGGATTTTTTACTTGAGAACTGGTTCTATCAAAACCTATCCCATGTTTCTCAATTGTGCGATTCTTGTGAATGCTATCAAGCAGTATGGAGAACCTGGTCCATCTCATTCCATTTTCTGCTTCAGTTTTAGTCACAAGAAGCTCTTTGGAGAGTGTTTCATTCCTTTTAGTTACCAATTCTAGATTTTTACTTAGTTTGGTATTCTTAGATAAAAGATGAAGATTCTGTTTTTCAAGACTCTTATTTTCTTTTCTTAGTGATGCATAGTCTTCCATTATCAGTTCCCTTTTTAAGGCTATGGTTTTATATGCATCAATGAGAGTGTAGAGTAAGGATTCTAGCTCTCTTTTTGAGTATGAACCTAGATTTTCTTGTAAGTGATGAAGACTAACCTTTTCATTTGTATCTTCTTCTTCTTTTTCCTCTTCAGAATCTGATCCAGCCATGAGTGCTAGTATGGTTTCTTGTGATCTGCAAGTTTCCCTTTCTTCCTTGGTTTCCACTGCTACAAGGGCAAGAAAGTCATAATCATCTTCTTGTTCTAGTGCAAGAAGAGACTGGTTTTCTGTCTCATCACCCTCAGACTCTTCATCAGATGAATTCCCCATTGCTGCAAAAGCTCTCTTCATTGACATGTCTGCCTCTTGAGTTGTCATTCTTCTGTTTGAGGGAACAAACTTATCCTTTTTGATGTCTTTACCTTTCTCAAAGTTTACCTTTTTCTTCTCTACAGCCCAAAGTGGACAGAATTTTATGAAGTGATTTGGACTCCCACACTTATGACAAACCTGGTCTTTAGTGTTTTCAGATGGTTTTTGAAAAGCTTTCTTTTGAAAGGTCTGCCCTCTCTTTAGCATTCTAGTGAACCTTTTAGTTATGAGGGCGATATTTTCATTTTCAAAATCATCTGATGCAGTAGCCTTTAGAACCAGGTTCCTTTCCTTTCTTTTTCCTCCAATTTCCTTTTCTTGGTTTTTCTTAAGTTCGTATGTGATGAGATTACTAATTAACTCATCCATTCCCAGTGAGTCCAGGTCGCGGGCTTCAGTGATAGCCTCGACTTTGCTTTCCCAAGTTTCAGGAATGACACTCAAGAGTTTCCTTACTGCTTTTCCGTTAGGCACTATCTCTCCTAAAGAGTACATCTCATTGATGATGGAGATGAACCTGGTGTGCATGTCTTGAATAGTCTCTCCTTCTGCCATCCTGAACAGCTCATATTGCCTGTTCAAGTTATCAATTTTAGACTTCTTGACTTGCGTTGTTCCCTCATGAGCTGTTTGTAGTGTTTCCCATATGGCTTTGGCATCTTGACATGACGAGATTCGATTATATTCGTCTGGTCCTATGCCACATATCAGAATTTTCTTGGCTTTGGCATTGTTTTGAATTGCAAGCTTGTCTTCAACATTCCATTCCTTTCTTTCTTTTGGGATTTTGGTGATTCCATCAGTTGCTGTTTTCATAGGTATGGTTGGGCCATCTAGAATTACTCCCCATAGATCAGGGTTTTCGCCAATGAGATGGTCCATCATACGATTTTTCCACCATCCATAATATTTGCCATTGAACAGTGGTGGTCGTGTTTGTGATGCTCCCTCTTGTGGGGTAGGTGGTGCTGCCATTGAGTCTTTTCAAGGTGTGAATCTTTTAACGAAAAGACCTGCTCTGATACCAATTGAAAAAAACCTTACCCCAGAACACAAACCAGGTTCGTGTAAGTTGCTTTTAAGTAAAGACAGAGTAAAGACACAAACACTTATTGAATTAAAACCTTCCTCACTCAAGGAAGGAAAAACCTCGTTTTATTAATTCAACTACAAGATTTTGTGATTACAACTCAATAATCAAAAGTCTTATCTCTACTACTCCCTCGATTAACTCCAATCGATCTCTCCAAAAGGCCAAACCCACCTTTTGTTACAACTCTTGCTAACAACCAACCCTACAAAGAGCCAAACCCACCCTTTGTACAATAAACTGTAAACTATAAACTGTAAACTATAATTAAGAACAAAAACAAGACAAATAGTTCTACACGATAAAAACCTTCTCACTCAAGAATGTTTTGTCCGTGGCAATCCTATCAATCTTGACCTTAATTTGATGAATAATTCTCTCTTGTTCTCTGCGTGAAGTCGTGAGTTTCTCCCTCTGCCTCGTATCCTTCTTATAGAGTTTTTGCCTTGTACAATCCTCACTAATAAGGTAAGAAAGTTATATTTAAACAAGGATTCTTTTTTAATTTAGAATCCTTATTATACACAACTTCCTTCCTTAATAATATATTTAAGGTTTTCCTTATTTGTATTAACTTGTACCTTTAATATATTATTTTGGCTTTGACAAATAACTCTATTGTACTTGATCTTGGACTCTAGCTTGACTTCTTTGCTGCGTACATTTGCTACTGTTCTTTGCGTTTTTTGTCTATCATCAAAACAAATTAACAATTCTATCACATTCTATCAAGAGAGTTTGATCATTTGCAAACATAGTGATAATATCAGGAGAACTCTACTCTCTAAGTTGTTGCTTATGATTTTTACTTAGGTTTCTGAATCAATTGTTTCCGTGTTAGTTAGTGTTTCTACTTGAGTTTTGGGTACATTTGCTTTTTAACATTTCATGATTATATTAAAAAGTATGTATTTTTGTTGACAACCCTATCAAAATTATTCTTGATAAATGATTTTCAGATTTATTGGGCTAGTGAGATGGGCATTCTCATTAACACACTGTAGTGCATGTCGCATGATGCTCTTTAAAGGGGTGTAGGAACGCCTGTTTCCTGTTGACGTTGACTCTTCAAGTAAAACTTTTTTTGTGATTGTTGCTTGCTTTAGATGGTCTCGAATAGTTTTATTTTTGAGCAGTAAGACTTTAGGCTTTGAATTGGTTAATAGAGCCTTACCCACTGTTTGCATTTTCAGTTTGGGATGCTTTGTCGGGAAACTGAGATCAGGAGGGGGTAATGCCTGCTATTTTTTTCTTCTGAATTTATTGATTAGTGTCTTTTAGATTCCTTTTTATTTATTTATATATGAGCTCCATATCTACGGATTTCTTTTTTCTAGTGAAAGAGGGTAAGTTAGTTGAAATTTATGTCATATTTATAAGTCATTATTGGGGAGAGAAGTAAAGGCTAACCATTTTGAATGCCATCTGCTGTCCTTATTTTTGCAGTAGAAGTCCAAAGTGATTCAGTTATGACAGCAATATTTTTGAAAAAAACAATACAAATAAGCTGGACTGGCCATGATATTGGAACTTAAATCGAATCTCTTATTCTTAGTCAGAGTCTTTGCTGTGTTTTCTCTCTGCTCTGCCATATTTATTATGCACCATTTGGTTGTGATTCCTGTGGGATCCTTACATTTACCTGATGCAGGGATGAATCACTACTCTGCCATGGGCTAGCTCGAATGATGAGTTGCAGCGTGTATTGGCCAAGCACGAATCTATTGCTTTCGGAACTTCAAGTGGAAACCCCCCAAAAATCTGAACCTCTTGTAAATGTTAATGCTCTGCTTATTGATACCGAAGGCCGCAAACAATCAGACCAAGGGTAAGTAACTATTATCTGTGTCATTCTCTTATTTGACCTCTGTATACAAACTGTATCCCCCCCCCCCCCTCCTCCTGTCCAAATATATTTCATTCTTGGCTTCTTTTTGAGCGAGCTCATAGCTTTAATAGTACACGTGGATTTTCTAGATTGAAATGTTAAAATTGTTAATTGCCTAAAATGAGTGACCTTAAAACTTTTGTCAACTAGGTTTGGAATTTATCAAGGTTCAAAAGTCCTCTGGTACTACAAGATTGATGGATATATGTGACTTTTTTCTTTGCGACGCGGGATTTTCCTAGTCAGTGCTAGGTGATTGTACTTTAAATAAGCTATCCCTTCCCCTTCCCCCATGGAAATATGATACAAATCCTGAGTGTTCTTTTTCATTTTTAAGTCTTCAAATGTGACAATCTTTTTCATATAAATCGCTTTGTGTGTTTTTCAGATCTACATCAAATGCTAGCCTAGGGACAGAGTTGCTTCTTCCTGCTCCTCCTTCAGCTAGCAGTCCATCCACAACAAAAGTTGACCCGAAAATTGATCTTCTGAGCGGAGATGACTTCAGCTCACCTACAACTGAGAATGTCCTGGCCCTTGTTCCTGTTGGTGGAGAACCTCAGTCTGCAAGTCCGTTCACAGAAGAATGCCTTGATCTTGTTGACATGTTTTCACCACCCAGCAACTCACAATCTCCATATTCAGCAGACCAGACACATGCTTCGTCCCCTCAATTTCGACAACAGAGTTTCACTTCTACTCTGTCAGCTTTGTACCCAAATGGAAGGGTCCACGGAACTACATATACACAAGGCTCCAACATGGCCTGGAACGAACAGATATCACAGCAACAGCAGCAGTCACCTTCTCCAGTTTATGGTGCGTTTCTTTGTCATTCTGCATGCATTCTGTTTTATATCAATAACAACAACAACAAAAAATCTGCATGCATTCTGTTTTACTTTAAAGTTCTATAGAAATGTGTACTCTGTTCGCTATAGGTCAAATTTTTCCTCATTATTATTCTCTATTACCCCAAAATACCGGGCAACCATTAGATATGTTAGTGAAGAGTTAAACAGGTATAGGTTATCAAAAGAGAGTTAAACAGGGATATGCTGGAGTATAGCGTGTGTTTGAAGTTGGTATGCCTCATGTAAAACCCAATTTCTGTACAGGTTTTATGTATTGCCTGAATTTTACAAACCTCTTGCTAATTGAGTTTCTGAATAATCACTCACATAGTGCTTGTCTAATTTCTGAGTAGGTGGTCAAAGCAGTTCTTTTCCACCACCTTCATGGGAAGCTGAGGCAGCAGAGAACAGCCAAACAGTGGGGAATCCTCATGCTCAACCATGCAAAGTAATAAGTTGTTGCCAGGTAGTCCACATGCCCTACCAATGCACAACAATCAGCTAACGTCTGGTAGTCCAAATGCTTTATCAATGCAAGATAGCCAGCTGATGGCAGCTAACAACCAGCAATTGGCTGGTGGTTCAGAACATGGTATATATGCACAACCGATCACTGATGGACAGCCTGCCATGATGAACCAGGCTATGCAAAACAATCAGATGGTAGGCTTGCTTCCTCAACCAATCCAAGGTGGAAAATCAATGGGTATGTTTCCACAACAAATGCTGCCACCTGGGCACATGGCTTATATGTATGCCCAACAACAAATGTATGGCAACCAGATTTCTATGGCTATGCCCAACCACAGAACACACAATTTCTTAATCAGAGAATGTCTGGGCTCTCCGTGAGGGATGATGGAGTCCTAAATAATTCGTCCTGAGCCCTCAAAGCCAAAGGATAAAATATTTGGAGACCTTATTGACAATTCAAAGTTCAAATCACCCAAAACAACTCCTGGCAGAGCTAGGAGCATGTGACAGTGACTGGTTTCAGCACCTTCCTTTTTTTCTTCAATATAATTCAACATCTATTTAGTAATCAATCTTGTATTTGTTCTGATTTTAACCTCTACACTTTAATTTTCACAAATTGTTCCTTTTAGTCCATATGCATTTAATGGTTCTTTGTGGGTTTGTGTACATTTCTTGTTGAGAGTACAACACCAAGATCACAAAGAAAGTTAAGGAGCTTCTTTTTTTTGCCAGCTTGAATATGTATAGAATGTCTTCATTTGTGTTATTTGTGCAGCTTGGTGCTGTTATAACTTGTCATGCAGTTATTTGTGCTTTTACCTGGAAGTACAAGTGATATGAATTCCTGTACTGGTACTAGGGAAATATTGCATCAATGCCTCACCTGAAAGAATTGTAATAGTAAGATAATCCATTGTTTGCTGAGCTACAACGCGGATGTTAAGTTCTACAGTGTCTTTGCTGTTTTATGTTTTGCTATTTGTTTCTATATACTCTATTCCTTTGCTTTAAATGGAGTATGAAGATATTATACTGCAGTGTGTTCTGGTCGACACTTCATGAGATATCAGCAGGTGGTTGTATGATTCTATCAACCGCCCTTGAGGTGCATTAAGACATCTTAAGGGGGGTGTATCTTCTGGTTTGTGGGACTTGAATAACTATTTGTCGAAAACTTGCCCAGGATAATATATGATAATGGTTTGCAGGTGCAAAGACATTCCCCAGAATTTACCGTATGTTTTCTTCACCCAGTTCTCTATTAATCAACAAGCAAGATAATTTCATTAGACATAAAACAGTTCTCTATTGATCAACAATCAAGATAATTTCATTAGACATAAAAAAATAAGATAATTTCGTTAGACTGTTGATCAACAAGCAAGATAATTTCATTAAACATAAAAAAATTAAAAAATAACTCGTTTGCCGGGATGAACCCGGGTCTCTCGGGTGAGAGCCGATTAACCTGACCAACTAGACTACAACACGGATGATACCTTTAATGTCATATCTAAACTACTTAACTTTCCAATTAAATCTTATAAAAAACAATTTAAAATATCTTAACTACTTTTTTGATAATGATCACGTATCCAAAATCTCTTCACGATTGTCCAGTTCTAATGTATTCAAATACTATAACAACATTTTTTTAGATATTCAGTTGTATATACACATTTAAGATTTTCTTTTATTTAGTTGTAATGATCACGTATTCAAATAGACTGTTGATAGGGATCAATTCAGCCTGACCCCCTCTACATCTAAGCTGTGAGTTGATAGTACGGGGTTCCACCTAATCTGCATGCAAATTCCTTTTATCAGTGTTGTCTTTAGTTAGAACTATATTATTAAGGATAGGGTTGTGTATCAATCAGCTCGATTCGATTTTGAAGTTTATTGATTTGGCTTATTGATATCGATTTGTAGAGATGCTAAACCATTATCGACATTGATTGTTAGTTTATCAATTTTTTTTGTCTTTATCGATTATCGATTTAACCTTAAAATTTGACACACACCAAAAAAAAAATTAAAAAATCACTTCGAAACATGATAAACCAATTGAACCATACACATGAATTCGCAAATTACATCTTACTCAAAAGCAACCAAAAATAAAAGTAGAAATTCAAACTCTAAGTCAAGGACTTTGTATACAAAACAGTATAAATATAATCATTTAATTTACCATCAAATTATTATCGATTAACCGTTAAAAGAATCACCCAATAAAAATAAATAAATCAAAACAATTATCGAAGCCAATAATAACAAACCAAAAACTTTTTTTTTCCAATTCAAAGTCATCAATTTCAATTCAATTTTGAACTACCCCTACTTAAGGTTACTCTCATGTTCAATAGGAAAATTGGCAGGCTTTCTAGGCACAATTAGCGGTTATTGAGGAGAATTTGGGTGGAAAAGATTTGGGAAAACTTTTGGGGAGAAAAAAAAATACTTTTTGGTCCTTTGTGCCTTTTCTTCTCTCAGATCCTCATTTCCAAATTTATTTTGAACAAGAAGACCCCCGTGAAGTATTTTATCACTTGTTAAAAAAAAAAGTAATCTGAAAATATAATATCGGGCTCATGTTAATATTTTCATTAATATATACAATACTAAACAATTAAAGTACAATCAGAAATTTCATTTTCCTTCACTTTCAATATTTAGAAGCATAATATTAGCAAAATTTATAGAAGTATATATTGTAAAGTAAAAACTAGGCAAAACCTCCACCTCAACAACTGTGACCTCTTCATTACATGATATCTTACAATATTCACAAGAGAATGCGTGGGGGAGCAGACCTTTTTGTACTCCTCCCTCAACATATACCATCTATAACAGCTGACAATTTCTTATTTAACTGTGACAAAAATTATGTCAACCTGTAACTACCCTAAACATATATCAGTGTTTTCATTCAGGGTGGCAACACTTGTTTCACTTTAGTGGTTGAAGTTCTTGTTCACGCACAACACTTTCAACACTTTCAACACGTTCATATGGAACAGCTGATTCTTTCCCTCGTCTCCATATTAACCATCCTACGAAAGCTGATAATCCAACTATCAAGACAACTGACAAAGCTACAACTACGATCAAGTAACTTCGCCACCATCCACTCCTATATCATTGCAACAAAATAATGGTAATTAACACCTTATATCACACAAATCGACTAGCAATATGTGGCATCAGTTGTGGAAAAGTAAGGATTATGCTCAGGAAAATCTTTAATACATAGAAAATTATGTAAGAGATATTCTAAATAACAAAAGGATGCATGTCAAGACCATATAGGAATACCAAAAAGCAGGAAAGAAGTGACTGTTAAATCATCACAACCACCAGCATTGCTCACTACTGGCAACACACTTACCTCCTCCATCATTAAATTATATTCATTGCACCCACCCCCGTTTCTGTAGCCGCCACCGCCTCCACCACCACTACCTCCACTATAGTCAATTTCTACTACCAACAAACTCCATCATCACAACTAGCACCGCCACCAACTATCATCATACATTCTTCAATCACCACCACAATCGTCGCCACCTCCACGACCACTGTCGACCACAACTACCATTGTGGTCAATCTCTACTATCAACCACCTCCATCATCATAACCATTACTGCCACCAACTAGCACATATTCTTCCGTCATCATCATCAGCACCACCAACTATTAGCATAAACCAAATTTACCATTGCAACCACCAACACCACTACCAAGCACCACCATTATGATAGTCACCACAACACCATCACCACCTTCACAGTCACAATTGTCACCACCATCATTGCTAGCTACTAACAATAACTATTACCATCACCATTACCACTACAAACTATATCTACCGTCAGTAGAAAGCATAAATGTTCTTTTTAATCAAATAATGATTTAATTTTATCAAATTTAACATTTCACTAATTTTTGTATATATACGTATATATATATATATATATATATATATATAACATCAGATGATGAAAAACAGTCTTAATCATTCAGTGTTAGAGAGAGAGAGAGACAACATCTCAATCATTCAAATGCTTATTGAGATTCATAGGCCTAAAACTTAATGAGGCATCAATAACTATCTTAGCGTAAAATGAACCCAATACAGCAGGAGTGGAAATTCGGATAGGTAAAAATTTCAGTGTTAAGCATTTGTTGGAAACTTTTCATAGATTAACAGAAAAAATACTAATCATTGGTTGGGGAACATAAAGTTTATTCCCTCTATTAAAGTTATGTTATTAGTTTTACTAGATGTGAAGTATAGAAAAGTAAAACAAAACGTTTGAATCTTGTGATCTTATTATTAACATGCCAGTGTGCCACATCATTTGTACAAGGAAGTGGATTGGAATTTTAAAATTTAAAACTTGCTAAAAATAGAAAGAAATATTCTTTTTTAAAGAGACAAATGGAAAGGAAGACACATAAATGAAAATATTTGAGAAGTTTATGGAACAGTCTTCCAATCTGCACAAGCAAATTACCAAACACAATACCCCTCTCTTATCCAAGCTCAAATAATGGGCCCAATTGTCTTTGCCACTATCTTATTTTTCACAGATAACAAATGATAGAAATTTAGACAATCAGTCGATAACTAAGCTCCAGAAATCATGTGAGGTGGAAAAACTATTAAAACCAACAATTTCAAGCACACTGTACTGTTTCACAAGGGAATTTCACCAGTTAATATTCTGGAGAAGGAGACAACACTAACTGGGAAAAAGGATTGTGGAAAAAAAAAGACCCGTAAGGATGAGGATATGCAGTGTAATTAATCAAATTGCAAGAACGGAGATTGCCGACTCACCTTTTTGGTGGGGGCTCAATACCCCATTCAAATAATTTGTAACTCCCAAATGTATCAGGAAGACGAACACGATTTTCAGCCAAACGGTGTATTATTTCCTGCATATAGATATAATGAATAGCTGAATACACAAAAATTGTTCAAGTTGAGGAATAATATGCAAATATTTAGAACTCGGAATCACCACGGCAGCAGCATTTGTCATATAATTTGCGGATCCTGCTGGATAGATGGCCCATTTAATAAGGGAATCATTTCCTTTTGTCGATAAGTTCATTAAGTGGACCTGCAAGGAATCTCACAATATGTAGAAGCATCATGTATGATAAGTCATAAGACAAGTGTGATTAAGTAACATGAAAGAGAAGAGCATTGAGTTCTAAAGATGAGACATATTCAGACAAATCTGGATTTAACTAAAATTGTCGTTTTCAAACCAAAATACCTGTGAGAAGTTAATGTCCAACTCTTGGGCAATGAGATGGGTAAGCTCTGTCATGTGAGGGTTCAAGTCCAAGTGATTCACACTCAGTGACATATAAAATGTAATGAATCCAACCTTAATTTCTCCTGCAAATTAAGATCAAAGATGAATATGCAGTAGAAATGACTTCCAATTGCCAACATATCTGCACTGGAATCTTGCTTTAACATGAGTAGAACTCTAATTAACAGAATTGCCTAATCTTTCAAAATTGCCGTGTCATCTCATACACTTGACATTAAAAAAGAGTCAAACAAGGTACCCGTCTCATAGGTCTTCAAGAACTGTACTGAGATTCTAGTGCAGATATACGGAAGGGAACTCGTCAGTCTAAGCTAGTGGAGGAATTTGAGACGGTTGGGAAAAAGTTTATACACATCCAATTGGTGGCAATTATTATATTCCTTGAAATTGTTACTCCAAATCAAATTTTGACCAGACCTTTTCTTTTTAATATGGTGCTTGGGTCAATTTTATGTGCACCTTGACTAATTCCAGGAGTTAATTGCTACCTACCACCAATAAAAAAGTATCTGGTAGCTCTATCAACCAAGGCTTGAACAAACGGGAAGAAATCATCTAGCTTTTTTTTGCTGCCAATGGGATTTGAACTGAAACCTCATGGTTCTCAATCCACTTCACTTAACCAGACCCTTTTCTTTAGATTGATAACTGTGTCTATTTCTGTACATCAGTACATGGGTTGTACTGAAAACCATATTTACATAGTGAACTCTAAAGGCACTGTCCTATCCCTATAATGAGTCTAAAACATCATATGATAAGAGTCATTAGAGTAAATCCGATTACACCAAAAACACTAAGTTAGTATACAATTCAGTTTGACTTGCTCCATATTACTTTCCCTATTCACTAAAACTCAAAGATTTCTCTCTTTCCAGAGAGTGCACCGAATAGTAGCAGGAATGAGTATCCAGTTGCTTCTGCTCTTTGCATTTAACCAGACCTTTTTCCAGCTCAATAATGCTGAACCTCTTGAAGCTATAATAATTCTTATGCATGAAAATGCTTCTCAGTAAGTTAGATGCTAGATCTCAAGACATTTATCACGGTGAAAGAATATCCACACTTATGGTCAAATGTCAACACATATGCTGACATTGGTCAAGACAAGAAAATAACAGAGCTAACTTGTAAAAAGGCAATGGAGCTAAAATCAACATGTCGCAATTCAAAGTTGATAACATTTTTCACAAAACAAACTAGAAACCAAAATGGATTAAAATAGAGGGGAAAAGTAACAAGGCTTCAAATGAATTAATTTTTAGAAACCTTTATCAAAAAAAGAATTAATTTTTAGAAACAAGATACAAAACTTCCTAGAAATATGCCACTCTATAATTGGAAAAAGAAAAGCTATGATTGACAGGCATATAAAAGATGGGTAAAGGATAGTAGTACACTGTACCGGATGCATTATACCCAGGAGATCCAGTAGGAACCAATGTAGGATACATACTTCCAGTGGAGTTTGTGTTAACCAAGCCTGAGGGCGATGGAGGTGGAGGAGATAAATTGAGTCTGTTCCATAAATCAGAACAATTGGTTTTCCAGAAACCAACCATTTCATGTTGACGATCATACGTTACAAGTGTGTTGCGGACAATAATTCCTGTGCAGTAAAAGCATGAATGTGAAAGCACGTACAACAAGGAACAGTAAGAAAAATAAGCTTCCCCAACGATACTAAGAGATATTAAATAAGAAATACCTCCAAGAAGAGTTGTTGCATCCTTCCCATTCTGAAATATCCCCAGACAATAAGCACCACGCACCTTTGAGTGCTTCATAGCAAGAAGTTTGGGCGAAGAAAATGGGGAATATCAGTCAATATGAACTAAAAGAAATTGGAGACATCAGGAGACGAAAGCAAGAAGGGGGTACAAGTTCATCAGCAAGGTAGTTCAAAAACCAGGAGGGTAAGATGCCTACCCGGAACAGGTAGTTTTCAGGGGACAGAGACAGTTTCTTTCCATTGCTGAATACCATGTCGACAGGTGGAAAGGATTTCGAGAGTTGTGAGATGTCACTGAAATATACATGACACTTGATACCTCCAGCGACACCAAAAGTTAAAGGGAAAAAATGGAAATGATTTAAGAACTCTTTTGTATATATTACCTTCCTGCACCAGAAAAACAGATATCTTTATAATTTGGATCAGGTCCTTCAATCAGTTTTAGAGAAAGAGCCGCTTTCATAACCTGAAAACAAAAATGCCAGAAGTTCATTGCGGAGAGAAAAACTTTTTCTGATTTTCCCATTTTTTTAGACAAAACCTATTTACCCACTAACTAGTAAGTAGTGGGTAGTTACAAATAGAATTACTGTAGAAACCATCAATCACTTTTTTTCCCCTACACGAAAAAATGCAACGCAATGGAAT